GGGGGGGGCTCACCCCAGGGTCAGGGGGGAGCATTTTGGTGCTGGGCGTGGGGAAACACTGAGGGAGTGCGTGCCAACCTCATGTCTATCCCTGCCACCCCACAGCTCACCTGTCCGCTCCTTTGTTCAGAGGAATGCTGCCATCTACTACTCCTCATAGTGAGTACGGGGGGTCCCTGTCACCCTCTGGGTGAATGTCAGTCCTCCCAATACAACCGGGTCCCTTGGGCTGAGCTTTCTGTCTCTCTGCAGTGCTGTCTTCCTGGTGACCTACCTGGTGCTGGTATGCTGCCAGGGCCCCCGGTGAGTGCTAGGGACAATGGAGGGGACACGGCTATCTGGGGGTCCCCTGGGCTTTGAGGGATGGGGACACTGCACAGGTACAGTGCCACCCAAATCCAGGGACCCCACCTGGGGTAGTCCCTGTGGAAGGTGAGACAGGGCTTGGCAACATGAGGACATGGACACTAATACCATCTCACTGCTCTTCAACTCTCTCATCCCCAGGAGACGCTTCCCGTGGAACATCATTCTGCTGAGCATCTTTGTGAGTAGGGGGCCATGGGTTCGGGACTGGGGGGTGACAGCACAGACATGTCCCACAGAAGGGACGGTCTCTGCTGAAGAGGCTTGTGGGGCTGGCAATCAATCTGCCCCTGCTTTGCCATCACTGACTCAGGCCTTCTGTCCTGCAGACCTTGGCCATGGGCTTCATGACAGGGACGATTGCCAGGTACCCAGTAGGGCTCTGGGAGGGTTGGAGTCCCTGTCCCTTGCCATGCCTGTGGTGACATTGCTGTCTACTCTGCCCTCAGCACGTACCGGACAAATGCTGTCCTCATCGCCATGCTCATCACCGCCATTGTGGCCATCATTGTCACTATTTTCTGCTTCCAGACCAAGGTGAGGAGGGGGTGTGCCCTGGGGTGGGGATGGGGACATGGGAGTGCCCTCCTGTGACACTTCCTACCCCCCCTCCCCCAGGTTGACTTTACGTCGTGTCCGGGGCTCTTCTGTGTGTTGGGCATCGTGGTCATGGTGACAGGGATCGTCACAGTCATCGTTCTCTCCTTCAAATATGTGAGTAGGGGGCTGCTGGGGGCTGCCTTCCTCTGAAGACAGAGGGTGGAATGGCTCATGTCCCCATGTTCCCTCCCCATGCAGGTGCCCTGGCTCCACATGCTGTATGCAGCCATCGGGGCTATTGCTTTCACCCTGGTGAGTTGGTGCTCCCCTTCCTTGCCCCATGCTGGGGAGCCCCTGGGGGGATGCAGGGCTCCTCCACCTGACCCCCCCATGTCTCTGCCCCCAGTTCCTGGCCTATGACACGCAGCTGGTGCTGGGCAACAGGAAGAACACGCTGAGCCCTGAGGAGTACATCTATGGAGCCCTCACCATCTACACTGACATTGTCTACATCTTCACTTTCCTCCTGCAGATTGTGGGCCGAGATTGAGCCCCTGCTTGGGACCCCTTACCCCCTCCTCAAAATGCTTCTTTCTCTTTCTTCCATTGGCCAAGCTACTCCTCTCCCAGCCTCCCAGTCACCAGCCAGGCTCCTGGTATCCCCAGTTGGGATACTGCTGGCTACCACGGCTGCAGCCCCTCTGCCATCCAGTTGTCCCCATGAGGCCACTCACTGCCCCAGAGCTCCAAGGCACCAGGACCAGGGATGACACTGGGGCTGTCCCCATGGGTGGGACGGCCAGAGGTGCTCCCAGCATGGGGGGGTGCTCTGCTCGCTTGTAAATAGGCTTTGAAGCTGGTACCTGTGTACAGTTCTGCCTGGTGTCCTCGGTGCTTCAGCACCCCTTGATTGTGGCCTGCTGGAGGAGAAGGGTTCCCTGTGTCCCACACTTGGGCCCTGAGGCTCTCTGGCCCAGGGGGATTGCCAGCAGCCAATGGGACAGTGCTGGGCTCTGCCTGGGGCCCGGGCTCCATTCAGTGCCTTAAATGCAATGTTCGCCTTTGCCCTGGGCACAGCGGGGCCTGGTAGGCCTCAGGCCCCATTGGTCTCTCTGCAGGCCTGGCCTTGGGCCACGCTCAATTGTTACACATGCTCAATAAAACACTTTAATTTTCCAGATGGCCCCAGTTTGATTCAGGCAGGGCCCTGTACTGGGTGTGGGTGGAGGTGTCCCTGGGTCAGTCCTGTGGTGCTGGTTGGGTCCCAGCTATGCACCCCGGCGGTACCGCTCCGTCTCGTAGTCGCCCACATTGGCTCCCAGCATCTTGCGGCGGATATGGAGCTGCTCCAGGCGGTTCTTGTCCACCTCTCTCTTCACCAGGAGGAAGAGGATGATGCCGCAGGGCAAACCGATGGCCCTGGGGACAAGTAGGGGACAGAGCCGTGTCACCACGTGCCCCCTGGTGCTGAGCCTCTCACACCCAACCACGTGCCTCCGCACTCACCAGGCCACCCCCACCGGCTTCATGGGGTTCTTGCCCTTCTTCCGCGTGGGGATGTACTCCACCCCCTCGGGGAGCTGCCCCGCTGGCTCTGGTGACCTCGGTGGCGCGGGTGGCCCCGCAGGCCGGTGGCAGCTCTGTCGTCCCTGAGCCCCCCGCCCGGCCACTGCCAGGAGCCCTGTAAGGAGAGAGGGCTCAGGAAGGTGTGGCACGGGGAGGAAACACGTCGCCCCTGCTGCCCCGACCCCTGCCCGACCCGCACCCCTGCCCCGGCTGGGCGGGCGTGACCAAAAGATGGGCGGGGCAAGCAGAAGGGGGCGTGGCTTAGCCAAGGAAGGGCGTGGGTTCTGCTGCTACTCTCGTGCGCCGGGTGTGGCTGAGACCCTGCGGCACCGGGGGCTGCCCTGGACGCTGTAAGCCGCGGAGAGTCGCGGCGTGGTACACCCAGCCCGCCGCCCGCCCGCTGCCCGTCTTTACCGCGCAGTCCGCCGAGGGCAGCCGCCATGCTAGACCGTGCCGGACTCCCGCGGCCCCGCTGCATGCCGGGAGGTGCGGTCCGCCGTGCTGGAGCGGCCGGCGGATGGCGCTGCAGGGGAGGAATAAAAAACTGCATTTCCCAGAGTGCGCCGCGCGGGGCCGGAAACCTCTTGTCGTGCTGGAGGAAGGGGCGGGGGCGAAGGTGAAGACGCGGGCTCGGATTGGCTAGAAGCGGAGAGCGGTGGGCGGGGATTGGCCGAGGCGGGGCTGAACGGCGGAAGTAGTAGCTGTGGCGGCGGGGTGGGGTGCGCGGGCGGGTCGGCATGGAGCCCGCGGAAGGGCCTGGCGCATTGGACTTCCATGGCGACGAGGAGATCATCGAGGTGGTGGAGCTGGGCCCGCCCGGGCCGGGTGAGACGGGTCCCGCCTCCTCCCGGGGCACCGGGCCGCCCCGCCCCAAGGCCCGGTTCCTGCGGGCAGGCCTCGCGTCGCGTCCCCACCCCAGGGCCTCCCCGGTACCCAGGGACCCTCAGCCCTCCCCGCTGGGGCCTCCTCCGCCCGCGGGGCCGGGACCCCTTCGCGCTGGGCCGCCCCTGGGCCCGCGGGGGCTGAGGTGGGCGGGGGTTGACATTCGCTCCCTGCAGATGACCTGGCCGCAGAGATGGAGGACGTGGACTTTGAGGACGAGGGAGCAGAAGAGCCCGACGGTGAGGCCTGGGAGACGGAGGATGATGAGGGGTTGGAGGACGGCATGGAAGCACAGGATGACAGTGAGGTCACGTTCTCGATGCACTCAGGTAAGCCATGGGGTTTCCCTGGGGGGAAGCTGTGCTGTGTCCTTCTCCTGGTTCTACCAAGTGGGTTCTAGGGGTCTCTGATAGCCATTGTGCTGTGGGGGTTTGCATCTGGGCAACATTCACTGAGGAGTAAGCATCTCCCCGCTCTGCAGCCTCAGTGTTCTGTGTGAGCCTCGACCCAAAGACCAACACACTGGCGGTGACGGGTGGGGAAGATGATAAAGCTTTCGTGTGGCGCCTGAGTGATGGAGAGCTCCTGTTTGAGTGCACAGGTGAGAGACTCGGGTCAGGTATCCCTGCTCAAATGGGTCCTGCAGCCCTTCCTGTCTGCATTTGCTCCTCCCCAGCTGATGCTCCTGTGGAGCTGGGCTCTTGATTGTTTTCCGTAGGCATTTGTTAACAGAATGGTCTCTGCTCGTTGCCATCTCTAGGACACAAGGACTCAGTCACCTGTGCTGGCTTCAGTCATGACTCTGTGTTTGTGGCCACGGGTGACATGTCTGGCCTTATCAAAGTGTGGCGGGTGGACACCAAGGAAGAAGTGTGGTCCTTTGAAGTGGGGGACCTGGAGGTGAGTGGCTGAAGCCCTGCTCCTGGCGGAAACATGGGGGCTGGTAGTGGGACCCAGCTCTGGTTCTTCTCCCTTCTGAGAGGACACAACCCTGTGACAGTGCCTGTCCCCTTCTTTGCACAGTGGATGGAGTGGCACCCTCAGGCCCATGTCCTTCTGGCAGGCACAGCTGATGGCAATTCCTGGATGTGGAAGATCCCCAGTGGAGACTGTAAAACCTTCCAGGGCCCTGCATGCCCTGCCACGTGTGGCAAGATCTTGCCTGACGGTGAGACACAGGGTGCTCCTGTGCCAGGGAAGAGGCAAAGGGTGTGGGAAGCTCTGCCTCTATCTCTTATTTCTGTCTTACCCAGGGAAACGAGCTGTAGTGGGATACGAGGATGGGACCATGCGCATCTGGGATCTGAAGCAGGGAACCTCACTGCACGTCCTGAAAGGTGGGAAAGGGGTTTTTCACCTGGGGTGCATCCCCCATGCAGTGAACTTTGAGCTGTGTCTTTGTGAAGAGGCAGCACACACAGAGACACTGGAGGCTGTCTGGTGCTGGGTGGGCTGTCCTCATGGCAGCTGTCCCTTGCCATGGGGCTGCCATCATGGGATGGGTGCAATGCAGAGACTGCAGAGGAAGATGTGCTGGGCTTCGAGGTGTGTGGAGTTTGGTAAAGATGGGTGTAGCTCATGCTTCCTACTTATCTCCACAGGCCAGGATGGCCACCAGGACCCCTTAACATGTGTGGCCAGTAACCAGGATGGCAGTTTGATCCTGACAGGCTCAGTGGACTGCCACGCCAAGCTGGTCAATTCTGCCACGGGCAAGGTGAGTCCGTGCCCACCTGTGGGGCGCAGTAGTGGACATGAATGACCTATACAGGGCGGGATGGTGCTGGGCTTTGCCAGCCAAAAGCAGCCTGTGATGGCCACCCGGGGCCAGCAGGAGGCGTGCTTGGCCATCACTACCACCATTTCTCTGCAACTGAGAGGATTGGGGCGTAAGGACTCATGGCGTTCCTCCCCCAGGTGGTGTGCGTGTTCAAGATGGAGAGCGTGGCTCCCAAGGCCACTGCAAGTGAAGGCGAGGAGGCAGAGTCCAATTCAGTGGAATCGCTGGGCTTCTGTAATGTGTGAGTGGGGCATTGGGACAGGGTGTTCTGCAGACATAGCTATGGGGGACCTTTCTTCCCAGTATGTTTTCTCCCTTGGGAACTTTGCGCTGCTTGCTGGCTCCTGATGTCTTGGTATTTTCTTTATGGGGTGTTCTCCAGTTCCAGCTCTGACCATTGGGTTGTCCCTCTTCATTTCAGTGCTTCTTCAATCCTGATCCTTCACACACTTAATTCCCTCCTTGCTCCAGGTCCTCATAAAATTTGTTCCTCTCTCTGCAGGATGCCGCTGGCTGCAGTGGGCTACTTGGATGGTACACTGGCTATCTACGATCTCTCCACACAGAGCTTGAGGCATAAATGCCAACACGAGGTACTGCCCTGCACCTATTCTTTAAGCCTGAGGGCATCTCTGGGTCCAGCTGACACCTCTGGAAGCCCAGCGTTGCCTCTCTTAGAGCCTGGGGGGCTTTCCTGGGGTTAGTTCCCAATTCGTGCTTCTCTCTGTTGTGGGCTTCCCCTCTGGTAGCTCTGGTCCCACACAGAGGATTTGCCACATCTTGGTCACGAGGGCTGTCCCTTTGCTATGGGAATGGTGGAGAGCATTGGGGGCGAAGGGGAGAGTGGAGGCTCATAATGTGCTGCAACTTACTGTTATTCCTTGTACTCACTCTGCTTTCCCCCCTGTACTCCAGTCAGGAATTGTGCAGTTGCTGTGGGAGGAGAACTCTGCTGTGGTGTACACCTGCAGCCTGGATGGGGCTGTGCGGCTCTGGGATGCCCGCTCAGGGAAGATGATCAGCGAGTACCGAGGGCACTCTGCTGAAATCCTCGACTTCACTGTCAACAAGTGAGTAGGGACCCCTCCCAGCCCAGTCCTTCCCTGAGGCTGCTGGGGTGAGGGAACCCCTGAGCCTTGGGGTGCATCATCTGGAAGCGTGGATGGTAAGATTGAAGGGTCTCAGGGAATAGAGAGGTGGTCACAGCTGCGGCTGTCCAAAGCCCCCAGCCCCACTGCTGAGCCTTCTCTCCCCTCTCCAGGGATGCCTCCATTGTGGTGACGACCTCCGGCGACCACCAAGCCAAAGTTTTCTGCGTGCAGCGCCCTGATCGCTAGGGTCAGTGCTGAGGGTGGTGGCCTGGCTCTGCTAGGCAGCTCGTGTACAGCGGGACAGGGGAGATGGGTTTCACCACCCTTCTCCAGTGCGTGCTTTGTAATTTTTCAGCCTGCCCTACTTTGCCCTCACAAGTTGGGGGCTGAGTCTGGGGTTTTGTATGAAAATGTCTTATAATTATATATAAATTATTTCACTTACCTGGATCCCATCC